GAGGGCCAAATAACTTATATGATCTCATTCATTCCAAAAGAGGGTTCTTAAGGATAGCAAATCAAAAGATTATTTGGCAATCCCCGTTTCCAATTGCCTGTTGGTGCTGAAGAAATTTGTGATAATAATTATTTTTCTGTATATTTATTATACCAAGTCTTACAGCATATATACAGTTTATCATCCACCAATCTAGGAGCAGTTTTAGGTAAGACAGCAAATACATGATTACCCATAATACGATCCACTAATCTAGGAGTTATTCTAAGTAACTTGTTTCAATGACAACAATTACAGGATGTCATCTAATCAATTACTAATCAGTCAAGATTCTTTCCTTCAATACTCCCCCTCAAGTTAGAGTGGATATTGATCACTCCTAACTTGTCCAGCAACAATGAAAACTGATTTGAACTCAGGGGCTTCGTGAAAATGTCTGCTGGTTGCTCCTTGGTTCTTATATGCTCTATTTGAATCAATCCTCTTTGCACTTTCTCTCTTACAACATGGCAATCTATTTCTATATGCTTGGTTCTTTCGTGGAACACAGGATTAGATGCTATGTGTATTGCGGCTTTGTTATCGCAGAACAGCTTGACTGGTTGTGAATGTTTAACATTCAAGTCCTTTAAAATGTATTGTAACCATGTTATCTCACAAGAAGTAGTGGCCATAGAGCGATACTCGGCTTCTGCACTCGAACGTGAGACCGTACTCTGCTTCTTCGTTTTCCATGAAATGGGAGCGTGTCCGAGGAAGATGCAGTAACCTGTTGTTGACCTTCTAGTGTCTTTGCAGCGCGCCCAATCTGCATCACAATATGCTCTTAATTCTAATGGTCCTTTTGAAGGTAGGAAAATACCCTGACCTGGTGTCTGTTTGAGATATCTCAACACCTTGTGAGCTGCATCTAAGTGAGGTTGTCTTGGTTTATCCATGAACTGGCTGAGTATATGGACTGCATACACAAGGTCCGGCCTTGTGATTGTAAGATAAATGAGACGTCCAACAAGCCTTCGATATTGAGATGCGTCTTCTAACAATCTTCCATTTTCTTGTGTGAGGGTTATATTTTGCTCAACTGGAAAACGTGAAGGCTTTGCACCAAGGAATCCTGTGTCTTCAAGTATTTCCAAAGCATACTTTCTTTGGCTTAATGCAATGCCGTGCTTGGACCTCGCTACTTCCAATCCAAGAAAGTATTTCAACTGTCCCATGTCCTTCAGTTTGAAGTGACTTGATAAAAAATTTTTGGTTCTCATAATATCATCTAAGTCATTTCCTGCGAGAATTACATCGTCCACATAAACCAATAAAGTTGTAAAGAGACCTTGCTGGCTTCGGACGAACATGGAATAATCGGACCATGATTGCTTGAAACCGGCTGACTTGAGAGCTGAGGAGAGCTTCAAAAACCATTGCCTAGAGGCTTGCTTCAAGCCGTATAATGATTTGTGTAACTTACAGACCTTATTCTCCCCCTTTCGTTCGAAGCCAGGAGGAAGTTGCATGTACACATCTTCATGAAGGTCTCCATTGAGAAACGCATTATTCACATCCAGTTGGTGAAGATGCCAATTTTGTTGAGCTGCGAGGCTGAGCAAGACTCGAACTGTAGTGAGCTTGGCAACTGGCGCGAATGTTTCCCTATAATCAATGCCTTCTACTTGGCTGTAACCCTTGGCCACTAACCTGGCCTTATAACGTTCAATGGTTCCATCGGGATTGTACTTGATTTGACATAAGAAAGAACATGTGAGAGACTATGAGTCGTACCAGGAGTTGTGACCTTGTTCGAAGAAGACGACGGAACGAGACGTGAGGGGAGGGCCGCATCAATGTGAAAGTCCTGCAATGCAGTAGGGAGTTTTGTAGCTCGAGAAGACTTGCGTGGTCGTGGTGAAGATTGTTCTGTAGGCAGAGATGATTGAATGGGATCGGAGGAGATTGTGTCAGAATTAGAAAAAGTGATATCATAAGGTACATGTTCTATAGATGGGAGAGATTTGGAAGAAGAGTGATTAAGATGGTGTTCAGCGGAAGACTGGGGGTTTTGAGGGATTGTAGGTGGAGAGTTATATGTGGGACTCGAAGGAGGAATTGTAGGAGTTGGAATTGAAGGATTATCATAATGGGCCAAACGAATTGGAGAAGAAAACAAATCAGAATTTTGTGATGGAAAAGACTCTGAATCTTTCTTGAAAGGAAACACATTTTCAAAGAAAACCACATCCCTTGAAACTAGGGATTTCTTAGTTGTCAAGTTATAAACTTTATACCCCTTTTGGCCGTGTGGATAGCCAAGGAAAATGCACTCCATTGATCGAGGGTCAAACTTACTAGGACGAGTTGGATGTGTTGATACAAAACATTGACAACCAAAAACTCTTAAATGATAATAACTGGGTTCCTTATGGAAAAGTTTTTCAAAAGGTGTTTTCCCCTGAAGAATTGGAGTTGGTGTTCGATTAATCAAGTAAGCTGCTGTGAGTATGGCATCCCCCCAAAAGGGTTTCGGCAAATTGGCTTGGAAAAGGAGAGCCCTAGCTACATTTAGCAAGTGTCGATGTTTGCGTTCAGCCACACCATTTTGTTGTGGTGTGTTGACGCAGCTAGTTTGATGGATAATGCCTTTAGAAGAATAAAATTGAGGAATCTTAAACTCCGGACCATTATCACTCCTAACGACCTTAATATTTTTACCAAACTGAGTTGCAACCAAATGAATAAAATGGATGAGGAGAGTACGTGCTTCAGACTTGTGTTTCATTAAATACACCCAAGTGCTTCTTGAATAGTCATCAACAATGGTTAGAAAATATTGTGCACCAGAAAAAGTTGGAACATGATAACCTCCCCAAATATCAATGTGAATTAAATCAAAGCAGGATACACTCCGAGTAATACTTAATGGAAATGGTTGTCTAGTGAGTTTGGCTAAAGGACAAACAGAACAGGAGCTTGAATCACAAGCTTTATTTGAAAGGAATGAAAATAATAAAGATGCTTTATTTGAAGGATGACCAAGTCGTTGATGCCATAAACTGTCCGAGTCGGTGTGTACCGCATTGCATGTTCCTTTCTGTGGTAGATTGAGTCGGTAGAGTCCCTCCTTCTCAGTTCCCGTCCCAATCATCTTCCCCGATTGTAGGTCCTGGATAACACAATATTAGTAGTAAAGGCTCTATGAGGAGAAGAAAGGTTGACATAAGAAAGAACATGTGAGAGACTATGAGCCGTACCAGGAGTTGTGACCTCGTTCGAAGAAGACAACGGAACGATGTAACACCTACTGTCGAAAGTGTTCCACAGTTCACTTTATCAATGAATGGACAAGCTCATCGTCATGCAGAGCTGCAAAGGCTCCCAAGCTAGCATTGGAAGGGCGGGAACTTCCAACTATTTCAGTCTCGAGCAGTCCAAAGAGAAGGACGGGAACTTCCAACTCATTGATGTAATTATGGAGAAGGTCGCATGTTTCAATTTGAGAGAAAGAATATATTTCTACTATTATTTCTGTAGGACACTATCTCGTGTCCCTAATCTTATATATGAATAAAATGAACATGGACTTTTCCCTTGTTTTTTTTTGCTAAAAAAATGCATAATAATTTTGTAGAAGGAAAACCACAGTTCATGACATTTAACCCGTGTATAGATTTTAGCATTCTATATTAGTTAGTTGGTTAGTTTTCTATTTTTTATTTTTTATTTTTTGAGTTGAAAGCTTTTGATATTTTGGTTAGTAAAAAAATAAGTTGCATTATTTTTGTGCAAAATAGCTACAAATTCCTAATAATATTGTGAAATTTCTCCTTTATAATGAAAATGTTTATTTTCCAGAAACCACCTTTAAAGTAAGGTCATTCTACAGAAACCATCTTTGATTATTAATTTACATGTAAACCATCTTTAAACGATTTTTAGATGTAATCAACCGCCTAGGCCCACTTTTAAATCAAGTTTTCACAATTTTGTTGTTATTATTACTTATCAATTACAAAGTAGAGATGATCCTTAATAGAGGTTAGGTGAGGACAATCAGTTAAAAAAATAACTGGAAAGTAAGCTCATGTGGTTGATTGTTAAAAAAATTAAAAAAAAACTTTAATGATGGTTTATACGTAAGTTGACCACCGAAGGTGATTTGCTGTAATGATTAGTTGTCAAATACTCCATCTAGTAGAGATTATCCTTAGTGGAGGTTAGGTGGGGTCAATCACCTAAAAATACTTAACTGAAAAGTAAGCTCAAGTGATTTAATTATAACAAAAAAATTTCTTTAATGACGGTTAACATCTAAATTGACCATCAAAGGTGAGTCTATAGAATGACCATATCTCGAAGATAGTTTTTAGGGAAGAAAACCCTAATAAATATTTTAAGGGTATCTAAATTAAAAAAAGATATAAACTTTAAGGTACCAAAGTGCAAATAACCATGCAAAACTAGAAAATTAAAAGCACACTGGACTAGTCAAGATTAGAGGGACTGTTGGTGGGACAAGAGACTAAATACCAACATGTGTGGGAACAGATGTTACCGTTGCCTGTCAATTTTGGTCCCCATCCTTTCATCAAACCCTAGAACATAAGCCTTTAAGACCAACATTTAGTGAACTTCAAACAAACTGCAGAATGAATGAGGTTAGGTTGCAGCCATACCAGGGCCCTACTCAAACAAAATATTAACATTACCAAAAAATCATGAAGTATATACATCAGAATGAAAAATTCCTCAAGGACCCAAAATATAGGACCAATTAGGGACAAATGAGGTGTCTCCCTCCTATTGGATAACGAGTTAGCCGTCATTAATGATGACCAACTCATTATCCAATAGGAGGGGGACACCTCACTTGTCCCCCTTATTGGTCCCATATTTTGGGTGCCTGTAGCAAAACTCATTGTTTGCTCCAACTATAACCTCACAATTTTACCATCTGATTTCGCCAAATCTCACCAAGTCATGCCCGGTCGATAAGTATCCTTTACTCAGGGTTAGGAAAAGAAATACGGAATGCAATCACTAATTTACTTCATATATAACGATGTCTTGCTAACAGAATCAAATATTTACAATCCCAAGATCACTCCGTATTTTGAAAGAAATGCAACTGTCAGCAATTTCTGATGAAAGAAAACGAAAGTGGAATTGTTCACCACTGCTCACATTTCAGACCCTTGTCTAATGGGAAATGAGAGGGGAAAATGGGGGAGAAAATGCCGAACACCTTGAGCAGCATTCCCGATTTCTTTACTGATTAGTTTAGTTGCATTTTCCTGCAGGCACAAGAATCAGATGGCAAGTAAAATATCTCCTGCTAACGAGAATATAAACTAAAACATAAGAGTGAATGTTCTTATGTGTAACATAAAACAAAACATAATGATGAAAATTTGATTGTCCATGTCCTTGTGCAGAGTAATATCAACTAAAACACAGCGATGAAATAGAAAGAAAAGGACCACTGACCAAAATAATCTTTTAAATCGTTCTAAATTGCCATATTAGGCTTAACGGGCATAAAAGCCAACTGATTTAAGAACACATTTTTAATTAAAAAAATGTGCATATATATCTCCATGTGCACATGTATGTGCTGATAGGTGCGAGCAACACGAAGCAAAGAATTGTTGGGACTAGAAGGGTACGAAAAAACAAATTTACCCATAATGAAGACTGTTGGTAGAAAGCCTTCAAACTACTAAAGCCTATACAGGCAGTTTATTGACAGTTACCTCAAATTACTTGTAATGCTGTCATGTCAGTCAAATAATGTCATCTTGACAACCGCTCTGTGAATTTTTCTACAAAGGGACCGTTTGGTTGTTTGCTTTTGTAGTGGTAGAATGGGTAAAGTTGTTGTAGCATAGTTAGATAAGGAAAGTCTATGTGGCACCTCTGAATGCTGTCGTTCTGACATTTTCCCTCCAATTTGAGTAGAAATGGGAGGAAAGCTATTGTAGATGCAGTATGTTTCATCCCCCAGCTGTATTATTTACGTACATAATTTTTCGCTCATATTACCACCTTACTCCCATTAGAAATGTCAAAAGGTTTATATCCCATATAAACTGAACTATTTGAACACATTGGAAAACAAGGACAAGGTAAACTCCTCATCTTACTT